ATTTGTATGGGCTCACATGAGGGGGCGTGAGCTTGAAATCGTAGCTGACCAAATGTGAACAGATTTTTTCTTCTGTAACTAGCTTTCTAAATACGAGTAAAATATCTTTTTTTCTAACTTTTTTGAAGCTTTTCTTTTTAAAGTCAGTGAATTTGTATGGGAATCCAAGAACAATGTTCTTGACACACGTGATGGCTAGCGCCGAAAAGGTGAATTATACTTTTCAATTCGACTTAAGAATTAGACCAATTCGCTCGTAGACCATGAGGGCGAGATGTCTAATTATTTTAGTATAAATCTAATAATCGGTCAACTAAATAGATACCCAATAACTAAACATGAGATCAAGTACGATTCGAGTTCGTCGGCTAATGGCTAAATATACTATAAATTTAGACTATCCACAGACATATTAATGTATTCTTTTTTAATATATTTCTAGTTCTAAGAGTAAATCAACTTATTGGCAATTTATTTTATGGTTTTGGGGAAGAGACTCGCCTCTTTAATTATGTTCAACTCCGAAAGAAAGTGCCGAAAAGCTTAATTAATTAATTAAAGAAACTAAGTTTGTTTCTAGTTGGCTTTAACTACGTCTGGTGAAAAATAAATAACAAATAAAAATAATTTTTTAAAAATCTTGGATTTTTTAAAATTTTTTTTTAATTTTTTAATTTTTTTAATAGAGACGAAGTGTCACATATACCAGTCCAGAAGAATGCCAATTTCGGTAAGAAACGAAAACAATAGAATATTATTTGACTCAGTGGTCATGTAGAAAAATTCAAGATGGCGGACAGTGCGTTCACTTGTTGTGCTATTTATCAGCTCAAAAATACAAGTGAACATTTCCCTCGAATTCTAATTCAATCGTACTAACTCTGTAATGCATGTTAAACAGATAACATTTACAATAGTTGGTTGAACCCACATTGTGTACTTCTGAGAACGATTCACACCAAGAGTTTACGCCAACATCAAATATCATGGTCACTTGAGCATCTTGCCAAGTCAATCGAAGTATCAAATATCGACCAAACCACGCTATGAAATGCCAAAAAAGTTCATTGTTTTTGTTTCGAACAGCAATACAAATTTAACATATCAAAGAAACGATGACATCGTCGTTCTTTTCGATCGGGCATATATACTCCTGGTCGGACTGTGTGTACACACGATTATTTTGAAAGGATCCTAATCGATGATAAGTTTATTTGGACGTCAAATACAAAGTAAGTATAATTTCAAATCCCTATGAATATATTCTAAAAAAAGGTTCTACATTTTTCCAAATATCATTATTTTTAATATTTTTAATTTGCACTAAGTTTAGACATCGTCCATTATCATCGTCCATTATCAAGTAAAGCGATGGAAGAATAAGTTAGCATTAAATACAAAAAAAAACAACGATGGTTGAATGGTTGAGTTATTCAAGCTATGTTTGCTTATTTAATGTTAAATTATTCCTCCATGACTTTACTTGATAATGACATCGGACGATGTCGAAACGTAATCTTCTAGCGTTCGTCTTTTTATGAAATGATTATTATACTAACAAAAAGCGGTAAAACTAAACGGTAACAAGAACAACAAAATTTAATTAACCACAACAAAGACACATGAATGAACGGAGACATCTTCTTAACGGTGACAAACGAATGGATATTTCATTCAGTTATTTTTAGGAAGGAAATGTGGGATTTGAATTAAGGGAAATTTAGAAGTTGCTAGAAATAGTTAGCTTTCGTAATCCTTTCTTATCTAGGACAAACCTTTTTTTTCATTTATTTTAGAATCGTATTAAAATCGTCTTTTCTTGACGTATCAAAGAATATTATAATTACTTTACAGGATAAAGTGATTCAGCTTGCTATTTTTCTAGGCAATTCAATTTTCCTTTATCTATATTTATATGATATCTATTTTTATATCTGTCTTCCTTTTTTTTTTTCTCTATTTGTTTATAACATTTATTTT